TACGCGGCGAATGGGGTGGGGGAGCTTGCCGTGCGGCGCGGTGATTGACTACGTCATCACTTCGGCATTCGCTCGGCGATCTCGGAGGGAGACGCATGTGTTTTACGAGTCGTTCCGGGTGTCGCATTAATTAATAGCGATTAGATATCTATGAACGCGAATTACATAAGATTGCTTAAAACTAAGGAGTATATTAAGGATTGAAAAGGATTATAGGTTGTATTGCATGTTTTTTCCTTTATTTCTTAGATTTATTATTCACAGCTCATGAATATTTGAAATATTTCATGTGTTCTCAGATGCACGGTAACTAATAATAAAAACGAGATTCTTATTGTTAGATGCATGCTATTATTTAGTCAAAATGTTTTATAATTTAAAATAAATTTTTGCATTTATCTTTGTTTAAAAAAAGGATGTATGACATATTATTAATCTTTATTTAATTATACATCATAAAAAAGAGCAATAAAAATTGAGATATAGTATTGGGATATCAAAATCATTTCACGTGAGTAATTATGTAAGGAAAACCACGCTAATAAGAATCTCTTTTTACTTCTTGCCTTTTGTCAGCACATTATAATTGATACGAAAAATTGATATTTAAAATTATAAAATAAACGTTAAATATGTTCCTCGGTATATCACAATATAATTATGATATCACATTAAATGACTAGCGCCGCTAAAACTAGAAATAATCGTTTTATTAATCGAAGAACATTAAAAATGGGAAGAATATATTATTTTACTTATTCGTAATATTCGTATTATTATTTCGGTAGTTAGACGGTTGGCGACCTTGTGGTGGGGATGGTACGGGGTGACACGGAGCGGCGCGTCATGTTTACGCGTAGTTACCGCGGTGGTTGACTACGTCATCACTTCGGCATTCGCTCGGCAATCTCGAAGAGAGACGTACGTGTTTTACGATTCGCTCCGGGTGTCGCATTAATTAATAGCAATTAAATATCTACGAACGCGAATTACATAAGGTTGCCTAAAATTAAGGAGTATATTAAGGATTGAAAAGGATTATAGGTTGTATTGCACGTTTTTTCCTTTATTTCTTAAATTCATTGCTCACATACACAGCTCATGAATATTTTAAATCTCAGATGGTAACTAACAATAAAAATGAGATTCTTATTGTTAGATGCATTATTCTATTTAGTCAAAATTGTTTTATAATTTAAAATAAATTTTTATATTTATCTTTATTTAAAAAAAGCATGTATGACATATTATTATATCAATCTTTATTTAATTGTAAATCACCAAAAAGAGCAATCAAAATTGAGATATAATATTGGGATGTCAAAAGCATTTCACGTGAGCAATTATGTAAGGAAAACGCTAATAAGAATCTCTTTTTACTTCTTGCCTTTTGTCAGCACATTGTAATTGATACGAAAAATTGATATTTAAAATTATAAAATAAACGTTAAATATGTTCCTCGGTATATCACAATATAATTATGATATCACATTAAATAACTAGCGCCGCTAAAACTAGAAATAATCGTTTTATTAATCGAAGAACATTAAAAATGGGAAGAATATATTATTTTACTTATTCGTAATATTCGTTTTATTTCGGCAATTAGACGGTTGGCGTGACCTTGTGTTGAGGATGGTACGGGATGGCACGGAGCGGCGCGTCATGTTTACGTTTACGCGTAGTTACTGCGCGGTCCCTTACTGAGATTCTTAGAAATAGATAATCGTGTCGCGTGCGGTTCTTTCACATTAGTTTTTAAAATCTTATCGCGAAGAATGCTAAATATAATACGAAACGTTGTACCTTAATAATTAATCATTCTAGTAATCGTATTACGTGAACATTCATAAAATACAACATTTCTTATTATATATCTAGCATTTTTTGCGTTTATTATATGTTTCAAAAAGAAATGTGAAGAAGAACGGCACGCGACATGATTATTTGTCTGAACGAACGGTATCACACAAGTCATAAAAAAATAATGTTAATATGAATAATACTCTCATGCAAATAACATAATTCTTACTTTCAGAATTAATATAATTTAGTAATTTAATTATTTCTTTTTTGTTTTTGTGCACTTTCTGTTATACGATCCATTTAAAAATTAAACGTAACTCTTTGAAACTATTATTATCGATATAATAAAAGAAACATTTATTTTTTTTTTATTAAATAGCTTTTTATTAAATCACTTTATTAACTCTAATCATATTTTACAGACGTCATCTATAAATAAAAGATTCAACCCTTTTATCTGCTCTGAATTTATTTCGCAATGATAACGAATTGCAGATATGTGTTTGAATCGTTTCTAAAAGTTAACCGATTGCATAATAATTGCGTAGTGTAATATAGATAATAGCTATATATTATATTTTTCAGATTATTTACCCCTCTCACGGGTACACCTTGACGTGGTG